CAAGTACATAAAAACAAAAGACTGAATTAAGAACCTTGAAATCACATGGGTCCTTAAAGTCAGGAATACTCGCCTATCTACCAAAGATGTAATCCAGATACAAAGCAGAATACTATATCTGAATATATATGTATATAACATATATAACTGTAACACTGCACTGTAGCACTGTCCTCCCGTTGTTCATTGATTTTGCTTGAGCAAGCCCAGTAAAGTCTCCATTGTGAGACTTGCTACTGTTTTTGGCGTATCGAATATGTCACGGGTAGCTTGCCAGGCTTTGCCATGCGGGTGAGATACTCTTGGTAGCTTGCTGGGCTCTCCAAGAGGGATGCAGGAATTGAACCCAGGTCGGCCGCACGCAAGGCAAATGCCCTACCCGCTGTGCTATCGCTCCAGCCCATGTGTGAAACTAAATATTAAAAAGTATTAGGAAACAGGGGCTGGAGCAATAGTACAGTGGTAGTGCACAAACAATAAACAATCCAGAAAATACTTACATGTAATAAATAGTAATACATCTAAAATGAAAATATAACAAAATTATTTTGGTCCTACTAATTTTGAAAATTTTCATTTAATAAAAGGTATTCTATGAGTTAAAAAGATAGCACAGTGGGTAAGTGCTTGCCTTGCACACAGTTGATCTCTGACAGCCCATATTGTCCCAATTCCCAGGGGTAATGATCCTTGAGCCACAGAGCCAGGAGTAAGCCCTGAATACTGCCAGGTCTGGCTGAAAAAAAGAAAAATTTAAATTTAAAAAGGTATTCTAGAGCTAATGAGATGGCTTAAGGGGCTTGAGCTTTGCATGCAGGAGATGCAGGTTTGCTCCCTGTGCTGTGAGTTCTCCTGAACATCATCCCTAGAAACCCTCATGCACCTAGCTGGAAGTAGACCTTGAACACTGTTAGGGGTAATACAAAGAGAAAAAACAAACAAACATGAAGGTGGGAGGGATATTATCCATGGTGGTGGAAAATGGGCACTGGTGGAGGGATGGGTATTTGATCATTGTATAATCGAAACCCAAGCACAAAAAATTGTAAATCTACAACTGTACCTCATGGTGTTTCACTAATAAAAACAAACAAAAAACCCATAGAAAACCCTCTCGATTCAGGATTGCTACACAAATACCTTTACGTGGAGAGGACGGTTTGTTTTTTGGGCCAAATGTTGCAGTATTCAGGGCTTCCTCCTTGTTACGCACTCAAGGATCACTCCTGGTGGGACTTGGGGGACCATATGGGAAGTCCAGGATTGAACCCAGGTTATCAGAGTCCAAGGGAAACACCCTACCTGCTTTATTATCGTTCTGGCCCCTAGGTTCTTGTATTAAGTTAAATAAATTGAAATGGGATGACAGGCTGTGATTGGTATGATTGATGTGTAGTGTCAGTTATAACATGGTCCCCTTAGGGGCCAGAAAAATAGTACAGCAGGTAATATTGCTTTGCACACAGCCAATCCAAGTTTGTTGTTGATGTGTGATACCCACTATGATTCCCTCAGCCCAACAAGGAATGAGCCCTGAGCACAGTTAAGTGTGACCCAAACAAATGGCCCCATCACCTTTGCCCGGAGATGTCATTCTCAAAATCATCTGATCTTATCTCTTTGCCTATTGCTATGTAATAAATTAATCCAAAATTTAATGGCTTAAAATAAAACAGTTCTACTAAGAAACTTTCTTGCTTCTCTTACTTAGTCCTCTCTTTCAAGGTCTCTAAACATTTAATTCAAGGGTTTCAGCTGGGCTCAAGGCTTAGTCACCTCAAGTCAACTGGAAAACGGACTACTTCAAAGATCAGAATAGTAGACTGGATTTAAACTGCATGGGATATTGGCTTGCAGGTCTCATTGAATACTGAATGCTGCCTAGAGATTGTCAGCTCACAATAAGGCAGTTTGCTTCTCAGAATGAGCATGCAAGAAAAAGTGTGAACAAGACAAAAGCCACTTTTGAGTTTTATAATTCAAACTCAAAAGTGAAATCCTATCACTTTTCCATATTCTATATATGAAAAGCAAGTCATAATAGAGTGGTTGTTTTCCACTGACCTTAAAAAGTGAGAGTAATAGTAAAATACACCCTAAGGGATTTGTTTTTAGAACCACACCAGGCAGGCTGTGCTCATGGCTTACTCCTCACACACTTTGAAGCTCTGTACTCAAGGAATCACTCCTGGCAGGCTCAGGGAGCCATATGCAGTACTGGGGATTGAGTCTTGGTCGGCTGCATTTAAGGGAAGTGCCTTGCCACCCCAGATGTAAGGTTTCGTAACTACACTGGAGACAGTTCATTTTCTTCATGGTAATCGGGATCAGTGGCTAATCCTAGCAAAGATCACACTAGTTAGCATCGTTAAGTCCACTCTGCTCGTTGATTTAAAGCATGAAGAGGCCAAAATGCTTTAACTGATGCTTCATTAAAATCACAGAGCTGTAAAGATAGCAGGTAGGATTGTTGTCCTGCATGCAGTCAACCCAAGTTCAATTCCCAGTACCCCAAGCATGGCCTTGAGTGATCCCTGAGCACAGAGCCATGAATAAACCCTGACCATAGGTAGATGAGTACCAAAACAGACCAAAAACTGGCAAATAATAGAAATCAGAACTTAGTCATATACTAAATTTCTTCCCAATTGGGAATTTTCCAACCCTTTCCCTTCTACTTTCCAATAAACCTTTCTGTTTCCAACTCTTAAAAAAATCATAGAAATCATAGTAAATCTAGGGGCTGGAGCAATAGTATAGCCGGTGGCCTTGCACCACAGCCAACCTGGGTTCACCCCCTGAGTCTGCCATGGGAGATTTGTGAGCACAGAGCCAGGAGTAAGCCCTGAATGTTGACTCAAGTGCCTCCCCCGCCAAAAAAGAAATCATAGCAATCTGGATATATTTACAAACAACTAGAATTTATTCTAGTAGTAGAAAACAAAAACAGGTACCTGAAGAATCCATTTAGGTATTCCATGAGTAAAAAAGAAAGAGAAACAGGACATTATTTTATCAACTGATGCATACTTCAGCTACAATTTCAAGGAACTACAGAGAAATATACAACAGTGTTTCCAGGTAGCACAGTTTTCAGGCTGTAAAGAGAGTGGGGGACCAAATATCTGCTGCTGTTATGAAAATGCAGCTTTCAGGTAAAAATAAACCCAACGTTTTTCTTTTATCAGGGTTTCACGTACTTTTGCAAATTCATAGGGAAGTCAATATACAAAGTTAGCTGACCTTCCTGATTGAGTGAAACCTAATTACTTTAAATAGAAAACACTTTTTTAAAAAAGGAAACATTATCCATTGATCGCTAAAATCTTGAATTATAGAAACAATACAAAGTCAAAATGTTTTGGATCCCAAAATATCTGTGGACTAGAAAAAGAAAACCACTCTGCTATGAACATGGACTATCTTTAGCACATTACCTGACTCAGTTAAAAACCAAGAGTTCAATATTCAAATATGCTATTTACTTTGAAGCAGAAACACACTTAAACTGTGTTTTAATATTACACAATAATGCAATCCTGCACATCACAGCTTCCCAATTATAGGAGACAAATACTGAGAAATTGAAACAATTACATACTTTTTATAGAATTAAATCTTCATACTTGTATTTTACACTAATTATCATTTTATTCTGAACTAGTCACATTTCAAGTTCTCAACAGTTCAAACTATCAGACAGTAGAGGTTTATTTCATTAATTTTCATTCTCCGGTGAAAGTTTATTTTCCTGATGCCAAACATCAAACTCAGGGCCTCATACATACAAGGCAAGTGCTCTACATATTGCCAATCCCTGTGGTAACTGTATTTTAATTCATTCTTTAAATGGTACTTTGAGACAGGTACTTTGGTACAGAAATTAGGTAAGAATCTCAAGCCTCAATCTTAGTTTTCAAATTATATTATAGCATATTTGATTATTTGTGTACAGTTCTGGAAATATAAATTTCAACACGTGATCATTTAAAAATTCATCACATAAAAATGGCTATAATTTCAGTAAATTTTAGCTTTAAAAAACTGGGTGCTAAGAAGATACTGTAGCATGGAGTTTGCCTTGCAGCCAACCCGAGTTCAATTCCTATCATCCCACTGTGGTTCCCCAAGCCTGCCAGGGGTAATCACTGAGTGCAGAGCCAGGAGTAAGCCCTGAGCACCACTGGGTGTGTCTCTCTCCCCAAATTAAAAGATTAGGAAGAGGTGGGAGAGATAGTACAAAAGTAAGGCATTTGCCTTACACATGGCTGACCTGGATTCCATCCCTGGCATCCCATATGGTCCCCCGAGCACTATAAGGAGTAATTCCTGAGTGCAGAGCCAGGACTAACCTCTAGAGGCATCTCCAGGTATAGCCCCAAAACAACAACAAAAAAATATGAAAATTTTCCAATAGAAAAATTAATGGAAACAAACAAATGTATGTAAGATTTATCTTACTATCATTTTGACAATCTTAAGCTATAGATCCTCACTTTTCTTTGTTTAAGCACTTAAAGGAAATTTCAGATATTATCTCTTAATACATAAACTTCATAGTTCATCTCTAACAAATATTTTTACATAACTGCAATATCACAGCTAACAAAAACAGCTATTATCTAATCCTGTCAATATAGATTTCTCTGCCTGTCCAAATGGTAGGTCATTTGGTATGATTTAGTAAATTATTTAGGAATACTTTTGAAAAATAACATTATGGTAACAGTGTTCCCATTCACTCCTTTAAGTGAATTTCCTAAAGTTTAACCAGGCTCAAATGGGAGTTAGACATTTACATTATTCATGAACATATTCTTTTTAAATAAAATCTCAGTGCTAAGTTACTAGTAATTATGACGACGGGTTTCTTACATTCAAAACATTACCTCCAGAATTTTCTTTTTAGTGCTTCTTAACACAAAACTCATAAAGAGGGAGATGAGAGATGGCTCAAAGTGTTGGAGCATATGCTCTGCATGGGCGTGGCCACACACATACACAAAAAGAATTATTTAGTTACACTGTGAACTCGCTGATGGTAAGTAAGGTGGGAATGTTGTCTAAAAGCCTTCTTACATTCCTTACATTCATATGGCTTTTCACCAGAATGGATTCTCTGGTGCTGAATAAGAGAGGAATGAAGTCGAAAGGCCTTTCCACATTCTTTGCAGTCATAGGGTTTCTCCCCAGTGTGAATACTCTGATGCTGAGTAAGTTGTGAGAGTAGTCTAAACGTCTTCTCACATTCCTTACATTTATAAGGTTTTTCGCCAAAGTGAATACTCTGGTGTTGAGTAAGTTGTGAAAACAGTCTAAAGGCCTTCCCACATTCCTTACAATCATAGGGTTTCTCTCCAATGTGAATGCCCTGATGTGAAATAAGTTCGGAGTAACGCCGGAAGAACTTCTGACACTCCTTACACTCATAAGGTTTCTCACCTGTATGAATTCTCTGATGAAGAGTTAGATGATATGCACGACTAAAGGTTTTCCCACACTCCTTACAATCATAGGGCTTCTCCCCAGTATGAATTCTCTGATGGAGAGTAAGTTGTTGCCGCACTCTAAAGGCCTTCCCACATTCTTTACACTCGTAGGGTTTTTCACCAGTATGAAGTTTGTGATGTAGCCGAAGGCCTGTGCTACACAGAAAAGCTTGTCCACACTCCTTACATTCATAGCACTTTTCAGCAATATTAAGTCTTTGATGTCGAGTGAGGTGTGCATATTGTCTAAAGGTCTTCCCACATTCCTTACATTCATAGGGTTTCTCACCAGTATGAATTCTTTGATGGAGATTAAGTTGTCCTCGTACCCTGAAGGCCTTTCCACATTCTTTACACTCATAGGGCTTCTCACCAATATGAATTCTCTGATGAACTCGAAGATCTGAGCCGCATGTGAAGATCTTTCCACATTTCTTACATTCACAGAGTTTGTCAGAAGTATGAATCCTCTGATGTCGACTAAGGTGGGCACTCTGTCTAAAGGCTTTTCCACATTCTTTACATTCGTAGGGCTTTTCACCAGTATGAATTCTTTGATGAAAAGTAAGTTGCTGACGGACCCTAAAAGCTTTCCCACATTCCCCACATTCATAGGGTTTCTCTCTACTATGAATTTTTTGATAAAGAGTAATAGGTGTGAGTTTTCTGTAAGCAGGCATTTTTTCAGAAGTACTTCTTTCCATTTGCTTGAAATATTCCTTCTGAGGGCCTGCTTCTTCCATAAACCTTTTATATTCATAATTTTTCCTCAAAAACGAATCCTCAATGGCACAACTTCTAATTTTTTCCACTATTTCCCACTGGGATAAATTCATTTCACAAATATTCTTTTCTTGAAATGCTTTTTTGTCATATCTGGGTTCCAAATCTGAAAAAAACATGATCAATAAATACTATTTTCTTATTTTAGAGAAAGCAAATAAAAATTTTATAATAAGTTGCCACCCACAAACAAGCCCTCTGGCTGCTGATCGAGCTGCTTATCAGCCATGATCCCAGAGACTCAGAGACAAAGCTCAGAACTCAGTGGCTTTTGGCAGAAATCCCTCCAGATTTAATTATTAAAACTTCAGAATTCCAAAATCGTGTGGCTGCTATAGCAGCTGTGCATTATCATATATCATATGCAATTCATAATCAGCAATAGAAAACAAATTGTCTAATGTTGCCTTTTTGGCAGATCTAAGTGTTGGGGTAAAATCCCAAATAATAATGGTGGGTTTGGTGTCAAAATACTGAATGTAATCAAGGTAGAGAGAGAGTAACATGGAAATTGTCTGCCATGCAGATGGGGAGAGGTGTAGGATGGGGTGGATACTGGGGGTTTTGGTGGTAGAAAATGTGCACTGGTAAAGGGTCAGGTGTTTCATCATTGTATGACTGAGACTTAAACAGAAAGCTTTGTAACTGCTCTCATGTTTTTTTAAAAAAAATTAAAATTAAAAAAAAATAAGAGGCCAAAGAGATAATATAGCAGATAACGTTCTTGCCTTACATGCAGCCTACCCACACCTGATCGCTGGCACCCATATGGTCACAAGAGCCTCACCAAGAGTAATTTCTAAGCAAAAGCCGAAAATAACCATCGATATAGTTGGGCATGCCACAACCTGGCCCCATCCTAACCCTCCAAAAAACACACACAATAAAGCAAAATTGAAATAAATGGGCTAAAATACTAAAATATTATGTACTTTGAAAAAAAGTTAGGAAACTATAAAAATGATAAAATGCAGATCAAAATCTGAGAATCCCTATATAATATTTTGTATTTTTTTTATTGCAATTAGGTATAAGTTAAAGTCTTGCTCCATTCAATTTTCTGGGAATTGGGGGCTGGAGCAATAGCACAGCGGATAAGGCATTTGCCTTGCATGCGGCCAACCTGGGTTTGATTCCCAGCATCCCATATGGTCTCCCAAGCTCCGCCAGGAGTGATTCCTGAGTACATGAGCCAGGAGTAACCCCTGTGCATCGCCGGGTGTGACCCAAAAAGCAAAAAAATAAATTAATTTTTTTTTTAAATTCTGGGAATGCTGATTTTTGGGTCCCTGCAGCATTGAGTACTATTCATCCTGAAGGTATTATGTTAAGAATCAGAAAAACTATCCCTGGTGACTATTAAATTTGTATTTTTAATTTGTTCCTTCTTTAACACTTAAGTTTCAATTTTCTTTTTACAAATTGATTTCCTCAATTTTTACTTATCTTGTTATACAAACATCCCCAAGGATAAGAACCTTTTACTTATCACTGAATAATAAAATCACAGTGCACACTAACTGTTAATTACTAAGTTCACATAATTAAATCATTAGATATGTTGCTTCCTTATACCTCAGTAGTCTGATTAAATATCCTCCCCCCTTTTTTGTTTTTGGCCTATACCCACTTACTCCAATATGTGCTCAGGTATCACTCTTGGCAGTACTCAGGGACCTTTTGTGGTACTGGGGATTGAAATCATGTCAGCTTCATGCAAGGCAAATACCTGCTTTACATAGTATCTCCCTAGCCCTAAAAATTTCCTTTTAAATAACTTTGTCTTATTTTAGGGCCCTACCTGGTAATGCTCAGGAGTTACTTCTGCCTCTGCACTCAGGAATCATACTTGGAGATGATATAAGGGACCATATGGGATGCCAAGGATCAAACTCAGTTCTTCTGTATGCAAGGTAAGGGACTTGCCTGCTCTCCTATCTCTTCATTCCTTTATTTTCTCTTTTTTTTTTTGCTTTTGGGTCACACCCGGCAATGTACAGGGGTTACTCCTGGCTCTGCACTCAGGAATTACTCCTGGCGGTGCTCAGGGGACCAAACTGGGATTCAAACCCAGGTCGGCCACGTGCAAGGCAAATGCCCTACCTGCTGTGCTACTGCTCCAGCCCCTCATTCCCTCTCTCTTTAACTCTCCCTATCAGGCTGTCAATCTCTCTCAACCAAAAAGGCAGTATAAAACTAGGGCAATCTCATATTTTTTGGAAAAAGTTAAAGGCCCCAGTTAGAAAAAGTAGATATAAATAAGGCAGTAATTAGCTCAAATGTCAAAACCACAAGAAGTATTCAGCTATAAAGTATGATAAATATTCTAATATTGGATTCCAAAGGATTCAAAAATTAAAAACAGTTCACTAGGATAAAAGAAATTACTCAATATGCTAGTGCACATATTTTGTATGTAGGAGGGCTGAGTTGAATCCCTGGCCACATTGTCCCCTGAAAAACCTTCAGAAGTGACCCATGGAGCCAGAGTCCCTCCAGGTATAGTCCCAAACTACTCCCTCTCCAACCCAAATAAATACTACTCTAAAAAGAAGATATCTGGGACTAGAGCGATAGCACAGCGGGTAAGGCGTTTGCCTTGCACGCAGCCAACATGCCGACACAGGTTCGATTCCCAACATCCCATATGGTTCCCTGAAAACCGCCAGGAGCAATTCCTGAGTGCATGAGCCAGGAGTAACCCCTGAGCATCGCCGGGTGTGACCCAAAAAGCAAGAAGAAAAAGAAAAAGAAAAGAAGATATCATCAAATTCCCAAGGTGCATATAATAGATTAATATTGGTTTGCATGCAACCAACCTGTGTTCAATCCTTGACACCCCGTATGGTCCCCCAAACCCTGCCAGTACTGACTGCTGAGCAGAGCCAGGAGTAAACCTTGAGCACAGCTGGATATATCCCCAAAATAAATCAAAAAACATCCAAATAGTTGTAAGAAAAATGAGAACATGATTACCACATAAACACCTACATTAACTGGAACAAATGTTAAACAATGGAAAAATGAATAAAAGGAAGTGATCAGAACATGTGCGAAATAAGTTAAACTTGGAGCAGAAATTATTTTCATTTACAGGTATCAGTTTTTTTAAATTTTTGTTTTTGGCCACATCTAGCAATGCTCAGAGGTTACTCCTGGCTACAGACTCAGGAAATACTCTGGGCACTCAGGGATCCTTATAGGCAGTGCTCAGGAAACCATATGAGGTGGACAGCAGAAATTGAACTCTCAGGTCAGCTGTATGCAAGACAAGTGCCCTACCTGCTCAGTCCCCTTGGATATTTTCTTTAAATCAATGTGTTCTCTTCCTAGCCAAGTTTAACAGCATAAGTTTGCCTTATTAGCATTACTCACCTAGACTCCATCTTCTTTTCTCATTCCTCACAATCATCCAGGGTTCTTTCCCTTGCTCTAAAAGGGTAATTACATCTGGCTTAGAAAAGGAATACCCTGCTTGAAAAGAAAAGGAACAAAAGAAATTACTTGATCAGGCCTAAAAGATCAATTTAAAGAAATGGAGCACATATCTTACAGGTTAAGGAGTCCAAATTTGATCCTCTGCACTGCATCTCCTCCCACCACCCACCCAGCACCAGTGGTGTGACCCTGAAAGACCCAGAATGGCCCTTATGTCCTTTAGATATATTTTGGAGCTTAAAAAGAAAGGAATGAATTTACCTTAACAAAGAAATGTAATGAGATTGAAAATACATTACGATAGTACAGTGAGTAGGGTGTTTGCCTTGCATGTGGCCAACCCATATGGCTGACTCAAAATCCAATAAGGTTCCCTGAGCACCACAAGTAATTCCTATGTGCACAGCCAGAGGAGTAACCCCTGAGAGTAACACCAGGTGTGGGTCTGCCACATACACACTGTTCATTAATTTGCTCGAGCGGGCACCAGTAACATCTCACAACAAATTGTGAGCCTTGTTGTTACTGTTTTTGGCATATCGAATACGTCTGGGGAAGCTTGCCAGACTTTGCTGTGCAGGCGAGATACTCTTGGTAGCTTGCTGGGTTCTCCGAGAGGGGAGGAGGAATCAAACCCAGGTCGGCCGTGTGCAAGGCAAATGCTCTACCTGCTGTGCTATTGCTCCAGCACTACATACACACACAAAAAGAAAAACATAGTTACTCCAGGACCATAAATCATTATGAAAACAGAACTGGAACAACAGTATAGCGGGTAGAGTGCTTGCTTGCCTTGTGTGCCAGTGACCAGGGTTCAATTCCTGGCATCCCATATTATCCCCCAGGTCCACCAAGAGTGATCCCTAAGCACCACTAGGTATGGCCAAAAAACAAAAATGAAAAGGGAAGAATGATGATGGTGGTTATGATGTCTTCCCACAATTATTGTGAAGTTTAACTTCAAAAGTTCTTTGACCAAAGAGATAGTACAGAAGTTAAGGCACTTGTGCAGTATGCAGTCAACCTCAGCTGGATTCTGAGCCCCATGTATGGCCCCAAGCAGCATCAGGTATGGCCCAAATTCCACCCTCAATAAAATAAAAACAGACGTAAAGTTCTTAGAGTAGGGTTTATTACATAATAAGCATTATCTATGCTTAATTTGAACTATTTTTGTGTTTTTAAAAAACATTTTATTAAGTAAAAAACAACTAACTCACTGCCAGGATATTAGATGCACATTAAATGCACAGTTGATATACTTTAAACTTTTATTCCTGTTTTGTTGTTATCACATCTGTCTATGCTCAGGACTCCTCCTTACTGTGCCCAGGATCATACTGGTGAGGTTTAGAAAGCCATATATATGGGGTGCCAGAGATAAAAGTATGGGTTAGCCATATGCAATTCAAGCCCCTCACCCACTGTACAATCTCTTCAGCCAGTTTTAAACTTTTAATTATGAACCAATGAAAAAAATAAAATGAAAGGACAATAAGCTGTAGTAAACTAGAACATGTTCACTTGATTAATTATTGATTCCACCTGGTATCATACATTGTAAGAGCTTTTCCCATAAGTATGCAGAGCCAGGCATCTGTTTTCACACTTAAATAGCACTTAAGGAGGCTGGAATGATAGTATAGCGGGTAGGGTGCTCACCTTGCACACAGCACACCTAACTTCTATTCCAGTACCCCATATAGTCTCCCAGGCCTGCAAGGAGTGATCCCTGAATGCAGATCAAGGAGTTAGTCATGAGTACTGCTGGATATGGTTCCCAAAACAAAAACAAGACAAAAAATCAAATAGCTGTAAAATTAGTAAATGTCAAACCATCTATTACAGTATAAAACTCTATTTCTCTAAAAGCAGCTTTGCTAAGAATTCACAGGTATCTTGAAAAAGATACACTGATAGGAAAGGTAGAAAAAGCGGGAGCAATAGTACAGCAGGTAAAGTGCTTCCCTTGCATGTAGCTCATCCTGATTCGATGCCTGGTACCCCATACGATACCCTGATCATTGCCAGGAGTGACCCCTGAGAATTGCCGGGGGTGGCTCAAAAAAACAAAAACAAAAACAAAAAGGTATAGGAAGATATAAAGGTGAATGAAGCCTGAAGAAGCTATTTAATTGCTTAATAACTACCAGAACCAACTGCCAAACTACAAAGCATATATTTACTTTTTTGTCTAGAAAGTTAGCTCTAAAATTCAGTCCTATAAATTTATTTGACAGATAAACTTACCCACGGACACCAAGTTGCTGTAGTTCTCTAATGTCACATCTCTGTACAAATTCCGCTGATGGGAATTCAAATATTTCCACTCTTCCTGGGAGAAATCTATAGCCACATCTCTGAATACCACCATATTCTGAAATAATAAAATTATGTATCATTTGTAAGATGATTCACTTCTTTGAAGAACCGTACTCTAATGTTGCATGCTATGCATGTAGTCTCTGTTGCATATACTACTCCCCTTACCCTTCTTAAAAGAAAAAAATCAGAGCTGGGGAGATGGGTCAATAGGCTGAGCACATCCTTAGCCTCTAGCAGGCCTGTGTTCAATTCCTGAACACCACCAAGAGCAAAGCACAGGACTGGAAGCAGCTCTGAGCATTACTAGGTATGGCCCCAAAAAAACAAAACAGAACAAAATTTTAAGTACAGCTTAACTAAAATCAAAGAATTTCTTCCAGACGTAACTTCATTATTAATTGTATCATAAGCATGTTTCTTTCAGATTATAAATCCTTATTTAATATTTTAAATTTATTGAACAACTGTTCATTTCACAGATGCTAGATATAATAAGTATATTCAGATACTCTTGGGGGGGGAGGCGGATGCAGGTCACATCTAGTGGTGCTCAGGAACCATATAGGGTCAAATTTGGTTTGGTCATATGCAAGGCAAGAGCCCTACTCCTTGTACTATTTCTCCAACCCATTATTTCTATACTTTTGATTCTATTATTGGGGCAAGAAAGAGAGTGTAGGGGTTCTATCTTATGTTATCGACCCAGTTTACTCTCCAGCACTACATGGTCCCCTGACACTTCAGGGTGCAATCATGGAGGCCCCAAACACCACAGGTGTGGCCAAGATTACCCCAGCACCAGCAGTACTGGGCCTGAGCAGCACCTTGCATTCTCGTACTCACCCACCAGCCCAGCTAGCCAAGAACTCCCAGAGTTGACTCCCATGCTCTCTGAATTCTTCTTGGTAACTCCCCCCAATAATTAAACACATTAAATCATATTTAGAATTTAGGTTACACAAACTCTCTAAAGCTGTAATATGCTTGCTTAGACATGTGGTTACTGAATTTTGCTTCCCAAATTAAAAAGTGCTATCATTTAAAATACACAGCAAGCACCAAAGAGATTGTTCAGCAGGGTAGGGCACTTGCCTTGCATGTGGCCAGCTTGAATTTTATCCCCAGTACCCCATATGGTCCCTTGAACCCCATCAGGAGTGGTTCCTGAGTGTAGAGCCAGGAGTAACCCATGAGCATTGCAAGATGCAGCCCCCAAAACAAAAACAAACATAAAAGATATAGCAGACATTTAAGACTTAGAAACAATATGAAGTATCTCAACAATTTTTATATTGATTATACTTTGTTGGTATTTTTGTTTCTGGGTCATAAGTAGTATTGCTCAGTTGCTTCTGGCAGTGCTTTGGGGACCATCTGGTGATGTAATTAGGAAGCTCATTAGGAAGCCCATTGACTCTGGCTCCTAAATACAGAGCACACACTCCAGTCCTTTGAGCTATCGCTTCAGCTCCTATACTGACTATACTTTGATATCTTCATTTTAGCAATACTGGATTTAAAAAATTAAAATTGCATATGTTTTTAAAACAGTGATGCCTACTCATCCTCAGGGAAATGTAAATCAGAACAATGAGACATTATCTCACATTTGTGAGACTAGCACACACAAAAAAGGGTTACAAATACCAATTGTTTATTGATGAGGATGTTGGGAGAAAGGAACCCTCACTCACTGATTCAATCTCTTTGAAAAACAATATGGACACCTCAAAGAAGTAATATGACTCTGCAATTCCACTTCTTGGAACCTACCCCAAAGGTCCAAAAATACTATTGTGAAAAGACATTTGTGCTCCTATGTTCATTGCAGCACTACTTATAGCCAAAATCTGGAAAATTGTACAAATGTTTAAGAACATATAATGGATAAAGAAACAATGGTATCCCATCCAGTTAAAAATTTAACTCCAGGGGCTAAAGTGATAATATGGTAGGGAGGGGTTTGCCTTGCACACGTCCAACCCAGGTTCAATTCCCAGCATTCCGTATGGTCCCCCTGAGCTCCCCCAGGAGTAATTCCTGAGTGCAGAACCAGGAGTAATAACCCCTGAGCATCACCGGGTGTGACCCAAAATGCAAAAAAAAATTTACCCCAGCTGTATCACCCCACCAAAATTTTAGAATTCCTGGAGCAATATCTCATATTCTACACCACTGATATACCAGGAGTAGCATACCACATTGGATGGGATGTAAAGTAGAAGGCAACCAATCTCTATCAAGAAAATATTAACACATGTCTTAACCTGTACAACATGTTAGTTGTTGGATATTAACCCTAAGTGTTTTAGGCTTCATCAGTGAATTTCCCCTTTTCCTCCTCCCACAGAACCTTACAGTCTTGTGAGCACCTCTTATCCCCCGAGTTTATCTTTAACCTCCTTTGTTTAAAATGAGATGTTTTACATCTCATTGTCACAATTCCCCAAGTCAATCTTGGTTACTTCTAAGCCAAAACTTTCTGGTAACTCTGGATTTTGTATTTGTAGTGCATTACTTGCTTTTATATTTCCCCTACAGCCTTTTTATATTTTACTATAGAACAATGTTCTTCACTTAAATAAAGACAGTTAATGCTGTGCTCCTAATATTTGGGAGTTGAGTGACTGTGAAATATATCTACTCCTGGGTATCTGTCATAATTACTTGACTCAGGCTTCAGCTGCAATTTTTCCTAACACCCCAAAAGGGAAGTCCCGCCATGGGACTGGGATGGACCTGGGGCAAGTGACAAAGCTACCCTGGCATCGAAATGGGACAGTCTAGAAAGCATAAATGTATGGTTTTGATGTAAGCTTGTTATAACTTAAGAGACAGGATCCCCATGGGGAAGGACAAGCTGAACTGGCCTGAGGACTTAGTCTGGTATTTATGGTAAAAGCCTTGCTTGTGGGGCTGGAGCAATAGCACAGCAGATAGGGCGTTTGCCTTGCACACAGCCGACCTAGGTTCGATTCCCAGCATCCCATATGGTCCCCTGAGCACCGCCAGGAGTAATTCCTGAGTGCATGAACCAGGAGTAACTCCTGTGCATCACCGGGTGTGACCCAAAAAGCAAAAAAAAAAAAAAAAAAAAAAAAAGCCTTGCTTGTTCTCAGAGCCCACAGAAATAAGTCTTGGAATCTATATCTCTTACTGTGTTTATACAAATAACTGCAAGTATTACTAAGAAGTAAACTAAATTCTTTAATATGTACAACTTAAGGGAAAGATAAAAGCAATACAGATGTCCCGGGGAGACAGAGTGTCTATTGCCTCTGCTGAAATGTTTAAATGCTTAAATTAATCACACCTACATGCAGTCCTATACCTCAAACCCCTTCAGATATTCTGTAAGTATGTGAGCAGCTCTGCATTAAATGGGCCAATTTCACCATCAGTGTGTGGTCCTCCCACTCTTTGTTTCTCTGCTAAGAGGCCTGGGGAAGATAAGGGAGACGGCTCTCAACCACCAAATGCATGCATCACAGCACCCTCACACTTTGTCAACTCAAAGATAGTAATCTCTTATACAAGGGCTTTATGGCTCCAGGGTGAGATACAAAAACCTTCACATACTTTCTTCTAAGGAAATAATTTTTGATTATTTTTAGCAAATTAATCATAACAAGCAATACAAAATAAATCATTTAGGGCCTGATATTGGGGGTGGTTTGGGTGGTGGGAAGGTATAATGGTGATTGGACTGGTATTGGAAAATTGAATTTAATATATTATCGCAAAAAACTTTATAAAATTTACAAAAAATTTTATAAAAAAAGAAACAATGGTATATATCCACATTGGAATACTACTCAGCTATAAGAAAAATGAGGACTAGAGAGATAGTGGGTAAGGTGCTTGCTTGCATGCAGCTAATCCAGGTTCAATCCCCCACACTGCATATGGTCCAAGCTCTGCCTGCAGTAATTCCTGAAGACAGAGCCAGGAATAAACCCTAAAGACCACTGCTGTGGCTCAAAGCCACAAAAAAAAGAAAGAACAGAGTCATGAAATTTGCCATGCCACTTTGAGGATGGAACTAGGGGTCAGAGGTGGTTGGGAGGAAACCATGAGACAATGATGAAGGGTAGCAGTAGAAGATATGGTGTTAGAATATTGTATGCAGGAAAACCTATTGTTAACAGTATTGTAAATCCCAGTGCTTCAATCAAAAAAGTTTTTAATTTTTAATTAAAAACAAAATAAAATGGGATAGATAAAAAGTGTTAACAACTTGATGTCAGAGTGATTGTACAGCAGGTAGGAAACCTGCCTTGCATGCAGTCGACACCCTGACACCCCATATGGTTCTCCAAGCCTGCCAGGAGTGATCCCTGAGCACAAAGACAGGAGTAAGCCCTGAACACCACACAGGTGGACCTGCCCCCCTCCAAAAACAAGTGTAACAACTACGTATGTGTCTTGTTTATTATTGAATGCTTTTTCTTTGGTACGGAGTAGCATCTGCGTCACACCTGGCAGTGTTCAGGACTTACTACTAGTCTGTGCTCAGGGATCAGTGCTGGTGGGACTTGGGAGACCATATGGTGTGAGGATCAAACCTGGGTCCACAGTGTTCCAGGCAAGTGCCAGACCCCTTGTACAATCACTTGAGCCCCTTGAACACTTTTTTGGGGGGCAGGGGGGCTCTGGGCCACACCTAGTGGTGCTCAGGGGTTACTCCTGGCTCTGCATACAGGAATCACTCCTGGTAATGCTCAGGGAACCATATGGGATGCAAGATATTTTTATATGGATGACCTGGTAGTGTTTGGAGGGCATATGGTCACAGGGAATGAATTCACAGGGAATGACCTCAGAGCTTTTCATGTGCTTGGTATGTGCTTGCTGTACCAGTTGATCATATTTTTAACCCCCTGTTCCATAATTTTTGTGGGGATAGGAGTTGGGCCACACCATGCAGAGTTAAGGCCTTACTCCTGCCTCAATGTTCAGGGAACTCTCTAGGTGGAGTTCAGGGGAACAAATGTGATGCTCAGGATTGAATCTGGATTTGCCACATGCATGATGAGAACCTTACCTTCTGTACTATCTCTCTATATTCTATCATTTTTCTCTTCTCTCTTGTTTTGGGAGGTGGGGAAGGAGGGGTGGGTCCACATCCAGCAATGCTCAGGGTTACTCCGGGTTCTGCACCCAGAAATCAACTCCTGATGATGCTCAGGGGACCATAAGGGATGCGGGGATTGAACCTCAGTCAGCCGCATGCAAGTTAAGTGCTTTATCCACTGTACTATCTCTCCAGCCCCAATATTCTATCTTTGTTGTCAGCCCCAATATTCTATCTTTGTTGTTAGTGTTCTGGGGTTTGCTTTTTTGTTTTTGTTGGTTTCTGAATCATACCCAGCAATGCTCAGGGTTTCTCCTGGTTCTATATTTGGTGGGTCTCAGGGGACTGTATAGACGCTGTGGGAATCATGGATCAAACACAGGTCAGCTGGAGGCTGGAGCAATAGCACAGCGGATAGGGCGTTTGCCTTGCACACAGCTGACCTGGGTTCGATTCCCAGCATCCCATATGGTCCCCGGAATACCGCCAGGGGTAATTCCTGAGTGCATGAGCCAGGAGTAACCCCTGTGCATCCCCGGATGTGACCCAAAAAGAAAAAAAAACACACAGGTCAGCTGCATGCAAGGAAAACACCTTATCCACTCTACTATCTCTCCGGCCCCAAGATTTTAAATTATGTATGTAGCTCATGTTATAATTCTTTTGTTTTCTTTAATTTTGTTTTTGCTTTTTGGATTGGTCCAGAGCAATAGCACAGCGAGTAAGGCATTTGCCATGCATACGGCCAACCCAGGTTCAATTCTTCCTTCCCTCTCAGAGAGTCCGGCAAGCTACTGAGAGTATCCCACCCACACGGCAGAGCCTGGCAAGCTACCCATGGCATATTCAATACGCCAACAACAGTAACAAGTCTCACAATGGAGATGTTACTGTTGTCCGCTCAAGCAAATCGATGAACAATGGGAGGACAGTGTTACAGTGTTTTTGGGTCATACCCAGAAATGCTCAGGAATTACTCCTGGCAGTACTAAGGTTCCATATGAGATGCCAGGGATCAAACCTGAGTCAGTCACCCTCCCTGGTGTACTATCACTCCAGCCCCTTTTAATTCTTTTGGACAGTATCCAATAAAGAGTTCCCAGTTCTGACCATCTCTGTTCAAATATCTCCCTATAGGGAATTCATTTATGTGGGTATTTCATTTCTGCTTTATCAATGCTCAAGACCCAGAGCAAACAGAAAGGAGAAACAGAATGATTTGGCAAATTCACAAGTGTATGAGGAGGAGAGGGGGGAACCACAGGAAGGATGTGGGCTGCTCTCTTGAGAATGGGAGAGAGAGGGGCTAGAGAGATAGCACAGTGGGTAGGGCCTTTGCCTGGCACGTGGCCGACCCAGGTTTAATTCCCAGCATCCCACATGGTCCCCTGAGCACCACCAAGAGTAATTCCTGAGTGCAGAGCCAGCAGTAACCCCTGAGCATTGCCAAGTGTGACCCAAAAAGAAAAAAAAGAGAGAGAGAGAGAGGGTCACAGAGATAATACAATGGTTAAGGAACTTGCCCTGCACACAGCTGGCCCCGGTTCAATCCCCAATACAACATATGGTCCCAGGAGCACCACCAGGAGTGATTCCTGAACACAGTGCCAGGAAGAGTAAGCCCTGAGTAGTGCTGAGTGTGGTCCCAAAATGAAAACAAAATGAAACAAAAAACTGGGGAGGAGCTGTCAAGTTGGGCTCTGTCAGGAAGTTCCAGGGTAAGTAACGAGAATATTCACATATCCTGGAAAAAATCCTGCAGTACTTCATATAGAAACACCAACTTACATGAGCCATGGTTTTAGAGTTCCAAGAAATAGTCCGTTTTTCTCAAGGATCATTTACCGGTGAAGCAGAGTCCATTGAAGTCAGAGCTAAGGGAACAACATGAAACAATGAAAACAACTGCCTCAGAGTGCCCATACTTTAATATATTCACCCTGCATCTCAATTTCTGGAGATGTTATCCCCCCAAACTGGAGAAAATCACTTGCACATGGACACTCTTCTGCAGAACGCACATGTCCGGACTCTCTATTAAGAGTTTCCTGTTAGTCCCCTACATAAACAGGTTTTCAAGTTCTTGGGACCATACCTGATGATGCTCAAGGCTTATTCCTTGCTCTATGCTCAGGTGACCAAAGTAGTAACAGGGATTGGACCCAGCTCGATCATCTGCAAGGCAAATGCCTTAATCCCTATATTGTCTCTTGGTATATTCTGCCTTCCTTGAATAAGTTGTCTTCCTTGAGATTTAAAAAATTGGGGGGAGTTTTGTTTGCTTGGTTTGATTTTTTGCTTTTAGGGCCTCATTTGGTGATGTTCAGGGCTTACTCCTGGCTCTATACTCAGGAATTACACCTGGTGGTACTCAGGGGACCACATGGGATGCCAGGGACTAAATCTGGGTCAGCAATGTGCAAGGCAAGTGCCCTACCCACTGTACTATCTCTCCAGCCCCAAAATAATTTTGTTTTTCTCAGCTTCATTTTCTTTTATTTTTTGGCTTTTTGGGTCAAACCTGGCAATGCACAGGGGTTATTCCTAGCTCTGCACTCAAGAATTACCCCTGGTGGTGCTCAGGGGACCATATGGGATGCTGGGAATTGAACCCAGGTTGGCTGCGTCCAAGGCAAACACCCTACCCACTGTGCTATTGCTCCAGCCCCTCAGCTTCATTTTTTAAGAAATTATCACTAATTTTATTTTTCAACCACTCACATAACTAAAAGATCAGGAGGATAAAGTTTTTTGCATAAAACACCAGAGCTGTCTACTTCATACCATACAAGTAAGACACCAGGGAAGACTGAACCCTTAGTAAGAATCTTTCTTTCAATAAACATTGGTTATAACTCAGAGAATCAGTTCCCCAGGGAATTTATTGAAGACCCTGATACCCACCCGGCTGCCTGCAATCTGCCCTTTCAGAAAATACAATTCCCAGTTATTTTCCTATAAAACTGCTTCTTGTGAACATATACATAAGACATTTTTAAAACACAGTCTGCCATCTTCCAATCTGCTAGCTTGCTGCCAAATAAAGTTCCTTCTCTGCCCTTGATACGCTTTGGTTTTTCTGCCACACCCAGTGTAGGGTAACATTGGTATGTCCTTTCTCCCTTGCCACAGGGAGCTTAGGTTTACTGACTAAACCCACCACAATGCTCCTGAGGCACTACCATTCCTCTGTTTATTGGAATATAGCTCTAAATATTTTAGGATAACACTGGTATGTTCTTTCTCCCTTGCCAGAGAGCATAGGTTTATTGGATTACACCCATTGCAGTGCTTCTGAGGCACTCTCATTTCCTCTGTGTTTATCTGTAACCCCTTCTCTGTGCTTTGCTTTCCCAAGGGTCAATCACCTTTATCCCCTAATCAGACTCTGTTAACCTTAAAGTCAGATCCTTCAAGGACACTGGATTTGTATTTGTAAGTGAGATTTTGCTTTTCTCTTCTCCTTATGTCCTTTGCATAGTTACTTCAGAGCAATGTCCTTTTTGTATAGACACAGGAAGACAGTTAATATTATGCTTTTGTAACTTGGGAGTTAATTGACTCCAAATAATAATTCACTCCTGGGCATCTGTTTCTCAAATTAAGCCTCAGTTGCCCTTAGTTCCTAGTACCCCAAAAGCAGGGTCCCAACTGGATGGGCCCAGGACAAGGTGTGAGTTACCCTGGCATCAAAATGGGCCAGGCCTGGGGGTATAGTGCTGCCAGCAGGTCAATCTGTACCTGTGAGGTGAGTGCATCAGCAGCCCCATGGCGTCTTCAGACTTCCAGATACCCCAAAATTGCTGCTGTGCCTTTGGCCAGACCCCAAAAACTTGAGGCAAAGTTTACCAAGAAAGTAAACGGCCAAAACTTAGGTATGTGGGAAACACACCCACAAACCACCTCCGGCTCAGCTATATAATTGGAGGCAAGGCCTCTTTGGTTCCTGATTGAACTACTTAATGGACATGATCCCAGAGACTCAGAAACAAATCTCAGAACCCAGTGGCTTTAGGTAGAAATGCATCTGGTCTCTGCAGTAGGCTACCGGTGCTGGGCCAACCCAGGTGGGAATAGGTTTCGTGCTTTGGCCTGTTCCCCCTGGCGGCCCAGTGACCGCCATCCGTCTGAGGCCACTGGATAGTCACATTTGGGCCCCCAGTGACGAGACACACAGGGCCTCATGGGATGGGGGTGGAGCCGGGCTTATCCTCCCCACCCCAACTAGACCCCAAGTCATCGCCCATGAATGGCCTCTCTGGCTCCTGATCAAGCTGCTTAACGGCCATGATCCCAGAGACTCAGAAACAAATCTCAAAACCCAGTGGCTTTTGGCAGAAATGTATCCGGACTCCACAGTACGTTACTGTCACCGGGCCACCCCAGGGAGGAAAGGGTATTGTCCCTCCGCCTGCTCCCTCTTGGCGACTTGGTGGCTGTCATCCTCCAGAGGCCATTAGACAGTCAGGCTTGGGCCCACAGTGACGAAACTTGTTGGGCCTCACGGGATTGGGGAGGTGGTGGAGCCGGGCCTGTCCTCCCCACCCCAACGAGACCCCAAGTCATCGCCCATGAACAGCCTCTCTGGCTCCTCATCAAGCTGCTCTACAGCCATGATCCCAGAGACTCAGGAGCAGATCTCTAAACCCAGTGGCTTTTGGCAGAAATCCCTCCAGATTTAAGTGTTAAAATTTCGGAATTTCAAAACCACATGGCCCTACTGCAGCCACACGACATCATATGTTATTCATAACCAGCAATAGAACACAAATTGTCTATTGTTGGTTGCCTTTTCAGCAGATCTGAGTGTTAGGGAAAATCTCAAATAATGTGGGTCTGGTGTCGAAATAGTGAATGTGATCAAAGTAGAGAGAGAGTAATGCGGAAATCATCTGCCCCAAGGCAGGGGGAGGGTGTGGGATGGGGGTATACTGGGATTTTTGGTGGTGGAGAATGGGCACTGGTGAAGGTACGGGTGTTTCATTGTATGACTGAGACTTAGACCCAAAAGCTTTGTAACTGCTCTCACGGTGATTCAATAAATAAAATTATAAAAAAAAAAAAGTAAGGTGGAGTTCATGCACAATTCAATCAGCTAAACAATGGCTGAATAAATAGCAGTACTCCTACAAAAAAAAAAATGGGCCAGGCCAAGAGCCATAATACTTAACTATAAGTTGAGAGCATGGTCATGGACAAATTCTGTCATGATACCAAAAGTAACAACTGAATTAGGACCCTGCTAGGATCAGGAAAGACTAATCTGTCCTGAGCACTGTAGTCTGAGATCTATAATGAGATGTCCCAGGAGAGCCATCCTCCTATAAGCTTAATGTATCTCTTATTGTATCCATACAAAATGACTAATATTATTAAGAAGAAGAATTAAGATGAGTGTTTAAATGCTTGTTGGACTAAGGAAGGAGATGGTATTTTGCCCTTAGGTGGGTCTTCTTACTGAATGAGAGTTTGTCCTGGAAGAAGCTTTCCCTGAGGGAGAGACCTTGCTCCTGTTGATTTTATGACCACACTTATGTGTAATTGCCACCTCAACCCCCTCATGATTTGGGATAACTAAGGCTGTAAGAGTGGGTAAGGGGAGAATCAAGAGTAGGGATGAAGGGAATCCGGGGAAGGAAATTCAGGAGAAAATGGAGATGAGATTGGAATAAACTGCAATTAATACCCACCAGTCTGGCCCTCGTTTCCTCCTTCATCCACCCGCTGCCATAGGCTGCCCCAGGGTGGGGGAAGCAATCTGAGACCACCAAACGCAGGCAAGGAGAGCGGCCACGGATTTCATGTTCATTTTTTGAATACACACCCAGTGATGCCCAGGAGTTACTCCTGGCTCTGTGCTCTGGAATCACTACTGGTGGTACTCAGGGAATTATATGGGATACTAAGGACTGAACCCAGATTGGCCATGTACAAGGTAGATGACCTACCTGCTATACTATTGCTCCAACCCCAGGATGGGGTACTTTATAGTCATCACGGTCCTCCCGCTGTTCATCGATTTGCTCGAGCGAGCCCAGTAACGTCTGCATCATGAGACTTCTTGTTACTGTGTTTGGCATATCAAATACGTCATGGGTAGCTTGCCAGGCTCTGCCATGCAGGCGAGATACTCTCGGTAGCTTGCCGGGCTCTCCGAGAGGGGCGGAGGAATCGAACTCGGGTCGGCCATGTTGGCCGTTTATAAGGCAAACGCCCTACCGCTGTGCTATCTCTCCAGCCCCCGGGGTACTTTATAATCATTAGGAAAACTTTAATTAATTAGGCCTTATTACTAGTAACAAAAAGGAGAAAGTCAGTGTAACTGACAATATAATTCCTACCAATCTTTAACTATTGTTTCTCATCAGCACCCTGGCTTGTGGTATTACCAAAATATTAAGAGACCATCAAACAAACACACACACACACACACACACACACACACACACACACACACAGCTTATTTCACAGCTTCTGCTTAATAATCTTGAGTTTAGCCGCAACCTGGGTCTCAATATTGATGGAGAAGAGTAAATTTAAGGGAAAAACGCAAAGACAACCCAGTGAACTGGGGAGTACATGGTCCCACGGAAAATATCCCACCAGTATTTTTGATAGGGGCCACTCCAGCAGTACTCAGCCCTCAGGGCTTCAGACATGCCGGGCATAAGCTATACCATTTAAGCCACTTTCCCAGACAGTATAAAGCCAATTACTAAATCCCTGAAAAATAGCTTCTAAATCCTGATCTCAGTGTTCAAGACACACACAGAAGTTAACACATTATTAAAGACTAATTATGCATAATATATACTGGGCCCACTTAAGCAAATCGATGAACAACGGGAGGACAGTGACAGTGAAAAAAAAATCAAAACATTAAAACCCCTCAATATTACAGTACTTTTTTCCCTTACATTTGTTTTAGGGCCATACCAAGCTTGCTTGTTCAGGGATTGATTACTCCTGGATGGCAAGGGTGACCCTATCTACAAATGCTGGGGATCAAACCCAGGTTAGGTGCTTGCAAGTCAAGTGTTCGACCTGCTACATTGTTTTTCAGACCCCACAAAATAACTTTTAATATTAGTTTTGGGTTTTTTTTTTTGCTTTCTGGGTTACACCCGGCGATGCACAGGAGTTACTCCTGATTCATGCACTCAGGAATTACTCCTGGCAGTGGTGCCCGGGGTACCATATGGGATGCTGGGAATCAAACCTAGGTTGGCTGCGTGCAAGGCAAACGCCCTACCTGCTGTGCTATTGCTCCAGCCCCTAGGTTTTTTTTTTTTGGCTTTTTGGGTCACACCCAGCGATGTTCAGGGGTTACTCCTGCCTCTGCACTCAGGAATCACTCCTGATGGTGATCAGGGGATCATATGGAAAGCTGAGGATTGAAGCCGGGTCGGCTGTGTGCAATGCAAACGCCCTACCTGCTGTACTATCACTCAAGACCCCAACCTTTATGCACAGTTTTTATTATGCCATCATGTGGATGGGGCATAATTTACTTAACCACTTCCATATTGTTGTATACTATTTTTCTAAGAAGACTATCTCAAAAATCCTTTCTGCTGGGGCTGGATTACCCAGGAGCGATAGCACAGCGGTAGGGCGTTTGCCTTGCACGCAGCCAACATGGCCGACCCGAGTTCGATTCCTCCGCCCCTCTCGGAGGGCCTGGCAAGCTACCGAGAGTATCTCGCCCGCACGGCAGAGCCTGGCAAGCTCCCCGTGACGTATTCAATATGCCAGACACAGTAACAACAAAGTCTCCAATGGAGACGTTACTGGGCCCGCTCGAGCAAATCAATGATCAACGGGAGGGCTTTTACTTTTACTTTATAGTGGGTAAGGTATTTGCCTTCCATTGCGGCCAACTCAGATTCAATTCCCAGAATCATTTATGGTCCACCAAGCACCATCAGACGTGATTCCTGAGTGCAAGCTAGGAGTAACCCCTGAGCATCACCAGCATGCCTCCTATTCTTCCTGCATATTTCCTGCATTTTAATTCTAGATGGAGATCAATTTTGTTCAGCCTTCAATAACTTTGATATCATGAAATATATATACGCAGACACACACACTTCTATGTATAACCTTAAAAGAATTTGTTGCTACCATAAAAATCCACAAAGAGGTGCTGGAGTGATAAAACAGTGGGTAATGCTTGTGTCACATGTAGTGGACTCAGGGGTTTTTTTCTTTGGATTTAATAATCTTTTTAATTTAATTTTTGGTTTTGGTTCACACCCAGTGGTGCCCAAAGCTTACATTTTTTAATTGAATTACTGTGAGATACATTACAAAGCTTTCATGTTTGAGTTTCAGTCTTACAATGATCGAACACCCATCCCTCCACCAATGTACATTTTCCACCACCAATATCCCCAGGATTCCTTTCTCCACCATCCCATCCCTCCCCCTTCCTCAGATAATTTCCTTCTTACTCTCTCTATACTTTTGGGCATTATGGTTTACTATGCTGATACTGAGAGGCTATCATGCTTGGTCCTTTATCTACTTTTAGCACACATCTCCCATCCCAAACAATCCCTCCAACCATCACTGACTTAGTGATCACTTCTCTATCCCAGCTGCCTTCTCCCCCAGCTCATCAGGCAGGCTTCCAACCATGGAGCAATCTTCCTGGCCCTTGTCTCTACTGATGGACTCAGATTTGATCCTCAGCATCACAGATGGTCCACCCCTGAGTACAAAGCCAAGAATAACAAGAATAAGCCTGAGCACTACGGGGTGTAGCCAACCAAAAAGAGAGGGGGGAGGAAGGGAGGAGAGAGAGGGGGAGAGGGAGAGAGAGAGAGAGAGAGAGAGAGAGAGAGAGAGAGAGAGTATCCACAAGAAAAAGTCCAAAGTTGATTTTTCACATGGTATAGCAGGTAGGGCACTTGCCTTGCACGTGGCTGACCAGGGTTCAATCCCTGGCAGAGCACATGATAGTCCTGAGCTCCACCAAGAGTGATCCCTGAATGCAAAGGAGCCAGGAGTAATCCCTAAGTATCTCTAGCTGTGCCACCCCCAAAAAACAAAAAGAAAACAACAATAATTCCTGTTCTGGTCCACTTGATTCATTTTCCTGCTTGCAAACATCCATCATAATGAACTTCACACTTTCATTAACTACAGAAAGTTTATAGGGAATAAGACTCACTCAACAGCAGTAGCTAATGAAGCTCACTTCCAATGTGTCACACACTCTCTAGAATGACCTACCCTCGGGCCCCTAAAAAGATGCTTAGTTTAATTCCCTTCTTTATAATGTCTGACAAAGGGCCAGAGCAATAGTATGACTGGTACGCAGCTGACCCAGGTTCAATCTCTTATACCGCATATGATCCCCTGAGCCCAGCTAGGAGTAAGCAGAGCCCAGTGTAGGCCAAAATCAAGACAAATAGCCTGAGCGTCTAAAGAATAACTGTGAAGAGTAACAGTCACTGATTCCTCTAGAAACTGTTGAAAATATAGCTTAGAACTTCATTTCCTACTTGGTTTGAGTACTCCTGGTTTTCAAGCTGCCTTTTGGGCGTGTGTACAATGAACTTTTGATAACTACTTCAGTAACTCACTAGTTTTATCTTAGTTATTTCTGAAATTGACAGCAGAGAAGAAACAGTACAAGAGAAAAGTCTCCCAAGGTTTAATTGCCCCAACACCCTATAATGGCCCCCTATCACCACCAAGAGTGATCCCTGAACACCTGCCATCTGTGGCCAAAAAACGAAAAAGTTCAGAACCAACGTTCGGCGTGTGTGTGTGTGTGTGTGTGTGTGTGTGTATATACCACACACATCAGACTGTATTCTTTTAATACCTAAACAATGGTTTTCTTCGCTGCTATTTTAAAAATGGGGAGCCCTCCAATCTCATTCTCTGGTACCAAAATTTCCATTTATGGAATTCTCTTGGGGATAAAATAGTCCCATTAAACCTAAGAGCCAGAGAGAAAATACAGGGTGGGTTACCGTGCAGTTCCATCCCTGGCATTATCCAGTCCCCCACCAAAGCCCGATGCAACTTCCCAGCCACAGAGGGGGGTGTGGCCCAAAAAGCCCCTGAATAAACTTAAACATATCTAAAATTAAACATCCCGGTGGAAAACAAAAGCATGAACGATGAACCAGCAGGGGCTGTTCTTCCATCATCAGTTCTCACAAGAGCACGGAACCAACACCGCGCGCTCCATTCATCATGGAACCCCCATCACGGGGTTCCAGAAGAGGGGGAATCTACTCATTAGGTCCGATGCCATCGACTCCGAGGAAAATCCCCAGTTCCAAATCAAGAGGTGGGAGGATTCGTAAGCAAGCCGGTGCCAGAGAACGAAATCTGAAACTCCCGGGTCCCGAAAACCAAACGGCAGGGAAACAAAGGAAACGGTGCAAACTCACCTAGAACCTGGCTGCCGGCGGCGCCGCGGCGGCTCCGTCCCCCCTTCACTGGTCTTCTAGGAAGACGCGCAGGACTGGGGGAGCAAACAGGTCTGGTTACAGCCCAGGCTTTCTTGGACTCAAAAGAAAATCCAGGCCCCCTGGATCTTGGGTACACCCCCGCCCCCCACCTGCACACACAAACGAAAAGCCGAGAGAAAGTCCGCCGCGCCCACGTTCGGGCTGGCAGCTCGGGCACCGCCGCCGCCCACCGCGTCTTCTGTGTCCAGCGGGTCCTTCCCTGACCCTAGGGGCGCGCCTTGATCTGGGGGTGCGGCACTGTGCAGCTGCCCTTACCGAGAAGAAAGAGGCCCTTCTCTCCCCCGCCCGGCCTACGAGGCTGAGGGGAAGGCGTGGGGCAGGACCTTAGGATGTCGCCCGGCAGAACAGGCCGCACCCACAAACCCGGTCCGGCCCCCGCTTTCTGCCACACCCACGCCGACCGGGTCTGAGGGCCGCAAGCCCTCTCTCACCGGGAAACGGGCCGCCCCCTCAGCCTCCGAACCGGATCGCCTCGTCGAGCGCCCGTTTCCTCACGGCGGAGCGAGGCTCGCGGAGCCCGGGCCACTCCAGGCAACGGGGCAACGGGCAGCGTCCAGCCCCGCGGGTCCCAGCTGTGGGGATCCACGGCTAGCCGTGCTCGGGCCCGAATGCGCACGCGCACGGAGGTGGGCGCGGGGTGGGGGACGTGAGCGCCGGGCGCCGGGTCCAGCTGGGGTGAGCGGGGGGGCGCGGGTCAGTTCCTCACGGGACTGCTGAGAGGGGAATCGTGCCCATGAATCGTGCTTCTTAGCTCTTTAAAGATGACCCTGTGAATGTTTGGTGCTGCCAAAAATGATCAGGGCCTGGGTGCCGGGAGGGAGCTGTCGTCCCAAAAGGGGGAGTGGGCCAACTCCGCTTTTCGTCTGGGCTTCTCCGAGCCGGCCCCGCCCCGCCCCGCGCGCTGGAGCCGGGAACAGGCGCTCCGCGGAGCGAGCGCTTCTAGCTGTGGTGCGCAGGCGCAATTGGAGGGGGTGTGGCCGGACGTTCTGGAGGCTCGTGGGGCCCCGCAGCTGGATGACCGTTAGTGCGGAGCTAGAGCGGGGACTTGCAGTCCCGAGCCGGGATTGCACGCGGGAGTCCGCTTCTGTATGTTGTGTTAAGGGCGGTGACCCCACAATGATGCCCCAGAGCCAATAGCGTTTGCTGAGGGACTCGGCGTAGTGCCACGTGCGCGCCCTGGTCACACTGTTTCAGGACCCGGAGCTTGGGATGCGGGACTGGAACTCCACAACAAGACAGTGCTTGGGGGAGCCAGAATGATAGTACAGCGCGTAGAGCACCTATCTTGCACGCGGTGGACCCGGGTTCGATTTCTGATATTGCTCCTAGGGAGCACCGCAAGGAATAAATAACCCAATGAGCTGATTGTGTCCCCCCCATTCTTTTTTTTTTTTTAAAGACAGTACCAGGAATAAATGAGACTGTCATCCCCAACTCTGCCTTTTTTTAACTGAAAGTTATTTTTGATCTGAAGGCAGTTAAGGTTCATTTAAGGAGGGAAAAGCTGTCTCTATCCTCACCCGTTTATTTTTATCCTTAAAATGTTCCTGATCTGCCTACCCCAATTTCTGCCTAAAAGCAGGATATGTTCTTTAGTGTAGACTACTCTAGACTCATGCCAACAGAACACCAGAGGAATCAGCTAAAACCTTAAATATAACTATTCTCAATTTTTCATCCTTGGAAATCTAAAGCTGCTTTTGTACGTGTGTCCTTTCATTTCTCTACAGAATGTTTGTTCTTTGTTGATGATGGTTTAGAAGTGAGAGATCTAAGTTTTTGAGATTTTGAGTTTATTTCTTTTATTTGTTTTGTCTTGTTTGGGGTCCACACCTGCTTTGCTTACTCCTATCTGCACGCAGAAATCATTCCTTGGCAGATTTAGGGGGACCATATGTGGTGCCAGGGATTGAACCTGGGTCAGCTGTATACAAGGCAATTTCCCTACCCACTGTATTATCTCTCTAGCCTTAGAGGATCAATTTCAAGTGGGAGATCAGATGGCAGAATTCAGAAAAGATAGTTTTGTTGTTTTTGGACAGCTACAGGGGACCATAAGAGGTACCAGGGACTAAACCCCAGCCAACCAGATACTGAACAAGGATAACTCTTTTCCTTAGGGGCATATTTCTAATCTTGCCCTACCTATATTCTTTCCCCGTGGCAGTCCTCTTCATAGAATTGTGACCCCCTCTCTTTAGGGTGGTCACTTTACCTGAATAGTTCTTTTTTCAGCTAGATGAGATCATAAAGGATGAGGTCATAAAGTCAGATAAATAAGATCATGAACGATTAAATCTATGGGACCGGAATTCTTGAATTCAGTTCTATGCTTTGTGACATTTTAAATGTTGTGTGTAGTAATCACCCAGTGCGAAAAAAAATTATGCCATGTTCCTCTGGATTCTTCAGGGTTGTCAAGTAAAAAAGCAACAAGCGGATTGATAAGAGTAAAAAAGCAGACTAGTCATTTAATAAAAGAAATCAAACATGGAGGCTGAGCAATCACCAACTTGAGTTGTTTTCTCTTTTGCATTTCCTGTGAACAGAGCTATAAAAGGAATCCCTTGAAGATCAACTTCTGGTTACCATCCAGAAAACGTTTAATTACACCAAGACACAGTTGCACCAGCTGTTCACCATTATACTGGCGTGCATGAAAAAGAATTGAACACTGTGTTCAGGATGGACTCTGGGGGGCAGGCAGACATGGAGACAGCCATTTTCATTGCCCTGCTCCAAGGAACAAACACATGTGCTCGAGACCAGCTGTGCCTGGCATTGGCTTGGAACCATGTGACATAGAATCAGATCTTCGTTTTCGGGCTGATGTAGACAGGCAGGCAGATAGGGAAGGCCCCTCCCAAGGCAATGGCAGTAATTTTCCTGGGAAGTAATAGCCCTGATCTCATGGGGGACTGGTGCCAGTCTGTAGCAGACCCTGAGGAGGCTGGACCAACCCCTACAACAGAAGCTCCTGCAGAAACAAAAGGCCAGGAAAGGAATTTCAAAGAAGACCATCACCAGTCCCAACCCCCTTGGTAACCTCCCTAGCAATGACTTTGACCTAGGTAGAAGCCCTACATGGGGGCAGGTTGGAGAAATCCTATAAAGGCCACCTTGAACAAAGGAAGTGCGCACTTATGCTCCCTGAGCCCATGTGCTGCCTGTGCCCATGTAGCCAGAGCACATGTGTTACCCACATCTCCTCTCTTGAGATGTGTACTTTCATGCTTTCATGTCTAATGCTAGAATGTCTAAAGCTGGGATGTGTGTAAGGGCTCTCTCCACCCTTGGAGGAGCCCCTGTTCTCAGCTTGAGAGTTACTCTTGTGAGTTACTCTTGTGAGTTACTCTCCACTCTCCCACTTTCTCTCCCTCCTTCCCTTCAAAACCTCCAGATAAAAACTGTAATTTCACTGCTTGTCTGCTCCTGAAATTCCTTTCTGCAAAGCGAGACAAGAACCCAATAACCTTGGGTCCCGGGTGGCAGAGGCAGATCAGGAGAAAGTAACTGCCTTTCTCCTCCCCACTTCACATGAGCCACTCGTGGGGCCTACCAACATCAGGGCCACACTGACCGAATATGGGGTCTGCCCTTCAGCTTTGCAACTGAGAAGTGTCGCGTGCACACTTTGTCTTGCAAAACTTGAACAGCAGAAAGAGGCCTGGAGAGAATCCAGCTCCCTATGTGCATCCATTCCTGTGCTCGGTCTGATCATCCTTTGTGCTGATGGTCTTCCTCTGTGGGAAATCTTGCATTCCTTTGAGTACCGCAGCCTTCATTTTCTCTCTCTCTCCGTCTGGAATTGCTTCTAGCCCAGCAAATATTAGTTCCCTGAGGTTCATCCTCCATTTTCTCATTTCCAGATCCTGTCATTTTGCTCTTTGTTTCAGAAATCAGTTTCTCTTTATCTTTTATCTCATTTTTTTCTGTCTTCTTTGATTTTCAGCAGTCATATTCATATATATGTTGTTTTGGGGCCACACCCTGTGCTGCTCAGAGATGCTCACAGCTCAGTGCTCAGGGGTCAAATGCAAGTTTTCCACGTGTTCCCCATACTCTCCAGTGCTTTGAGCTAGTTTCCCAGAAATCACAGTGTTTTGTTTTGTTTTTTATAAGGGCACACCTGGTAATTCTTGGGAGCTATTCCTGACTGTGCTTAGGGATCACTCCTGACTGTGCTCAGGGGACCATGTGGGGTACTAGGAATGGGACAAGGATCAAGGGCTCATAGTAAACAAACCAAGTGCTTTTGATGTCGGTGGACCCCAGGGGTGACTCACGTGAGTCGGGAAGAGAGAAAGACCATCACTTTCTCCCACTCTGCCTCTGCCACCTGTGACCCACTGGGAAGACTAGGATTGGTAAAGTCTGTGATAAACCCCTACTCAGCACTTGCCTCAGCCCTGCCAGCCCCGCCAGGTGGCAGTCAAGCCACACCTGAGGTCCACTTGGTCTGCCAGGCACAGGAGTTGATCCCCACCACCCAATTTCTCAGGCAGCCACAGACTCAGGCTGGAGAGAAGATTATGCTCTTTGCAGAGAAGGAGAAACCAGTCCCAGACCTTACCCAGGGCTCTCAGGGCTCTTGTCTCGCTTGCAGACAAGAATTTCAGGAGTAGAAAAGCAGTGAAGCAAAACAGATTTTATTTGGAGGTTTTAAGGTGTGGAGGGAGAGAGAGTGAGAGAAAGTACCGAGCTCAAGAGAGAATAGGGGGGGGGGCTGGAGCAATAGTAGGGTGTTTGCCTTGCACGCAGCTGACCCAGGTTTGATTCCCAGAATCTCATATGGTCCCCTAATTACTGCCAGGAATAATTCCTGAGTGCAGAACCAGGAGTAACCCCATGCATTGCCAGGTGTGACCCAAAAAGAAAAGAGAGAGAGAGAGAGAGAGAACGCGGGCTTCTACGAGGGCAGACAGAGCTTTGAATAGGCTTTTGGGCTGACTTTTATAAGGCTCTTCTCGGGTTGTCTTGGTCTGGAACATTTTGGAGTTTTCTCTGGGCTGAATCACTAAAGTTAGAATATTCGAGGAATTT